AGACTTCACTAAAACCGATAACCCGCCAATATCAATTGCAACATCGCACGAAATAACGGTTTGCCAATAAAATACCGTTTGTCACTTTACCTGATCAATAACTAAATCAATTCTAATCAACCGCCATTGTACACGACTGTACTCAAACGAAAATCATCGGTTTACAACTTAGCAGGTGCGCGCGCGCGTGAATGAACTAAAGATCACTCTTGCGCAGGGTCACCGACCTCTCCGATCAGGTGTAATTACTAGTAAATCACTGTAGATCTTACTACCTAAGATTAAAGTTGTATTTCGCGTGTAATTCTTTTTATAGAGGAGTTACATCAAAACTGTAATAATTTAAATTAACGTTTCCGGTGGGCAGGTGCAAAAACGCAGGATGTGGGCAGTTCTGCACATGTTGTGTACCCGTTTTATGGTCAAGATTTTATTTAATAAGGATGATAAATAATTGATATTGATTGCGCATGTGTTCAATTACTGTTAACAAGAAAGCAACATACATAAATAGGGAGGACAGATTCACATCTTCCGTAAATCATTAATTAGTATCAGTCCACAACTTTACAATCATAGATACTATCTGTGTGACTTTCACACCGCACTGTGAACCGTACGATATCTGTACCTACATTAACACTGCCTGTGCGGATCTTCAAATCGTCTTTATACAGGTTTCATTACAATAATATAGTTAACGGTTTAGCAAACAAAATAATCGTCGTTTTAGAATACAGATGATGTAGGGAGTAAGTGGTGTTACATTGTTCTCATACTCATCTCATTGAACCCACAAAAATATGTAACCAAAAAATTGTATTGTGAACCTGATTGAAAAAACCTATGGAGTTTCTTCGTCGTTCTTCTCCATAGGATACAATGTTCAAAAGTGCTTTTCTGGTCTAATTGAAATAAATGATTTTGATTTTGACATTGCCTTTAAAGCTCAGTTCCTCCAATTTGTGAAACCGTCAAAAGTCGACGTCATCTTAGGCATCGGTTAGAAGATTTTATGCGATGCCAGCGCCTCTAACAGCGCAAAAATACGTTGAATGTTTTGTGACCCACAAAATCAAGATTTAAGCAGTTGTTTGAAAATTGAACTATTCTGCTCACTAGGCTAACGAGTTCCGAAGTTTGTCGAACCGAATTGTTCGGAACCCGGCCTTAAGATCCGCAGTAACAATATCTAAGTGTCGGTTAAACATTTATCCTCAACAATATCCAAACTCCGCTAATCACTGTGTAAACAATTCACATCCCAAGGGCCTACTCGACCGTGTATTAACGCCTTAATATTCAAGTAGGGTTGTCCTACATCGGCCAGAGAACCCAAGGTCCCAAGAAACCTCATGGCACTAACTGATAAAGGATTATTTTCAACTTTCTATAACAATATCCAAATCCTTAATATCTCAGAGGATATGATCCTCATCGAGGGTTCGTGACAGCCCTACTGTACTCAGAGTGCGATGCTAAAAGTTTATTTATCGTACGAAAAGTGGGCCCTAAATATTTTATTGGAAGAGGTCTTTTGGGACCAATAGCCATTGTTTGAAGTTCAGTCAAAATTGGGTAGGCAGAATTTGTCGTTTATCATCAAAGGACTGAAAATATTTTCATTCTTTTATCGGGTCGTTTATAGGTATTCGACATTTGTAATAAGTCCGTTGGGACTTTTTGTTGAAGAGAAATTCCGAATGTATGTCGGAAATAAGAATTTAATTACAAACTTCAACAAGGAACATTCCTCGTTTGTAAAAATTTTAGCACAGTTTTTGTTTAAGATTCTTTATAACTAAATAAGACTGTGCACTAACAAAGTCACGATATCAAGCTATACACAGAGCGCGGGCATGCGGACAGCGAACATGGGTGGCTCGCCAACCAGAACCAGACCCGAGCGTCTGAGCGTCTCAAAGAGCTCAAAGAGCCATCAGACCACCACGGATGGGGCCAATAGAGCTGATGCCGATACAAAGCCGCGGAGAACCTAACGGGTTACCGGGGCTCCGGCTCGAAGTGCAGGAGTAGGAACGGGGTAGTTTTTAGTCAGTAAGAATCTGACACTCCCTTCCGCCTCACCCGGGCGGGAAAAGTAATCCGATGATTGTCCCCTCTTAAAAAAAATACACAGGTAACTCAAGTACATCCTACAGCTACATCAAGCCACCGAGAGACGAGCTACAACGTCCTCGGGGACTTATCTACAATTCACAAACCGCTTGTCAACCGGGGAGCTTACAGCGAACCCTCTTCTCAGATGGAGACCTTATAAGACTGATGATGGCCAAACATATACTCAAATAACAACTTAGTACAGACATATTACTGCTATGTAAGTAATTCAAAATGACCGAATATGGGAATACACCATTTCAAGCAATAGAAGCGTACATTACAGCTAGCAAATATTGTAGGGTGCGAAATTACAAGGTAAATCGAGTTGTATTGAAACTGTTATCTGAGACTAATCGAGTTTTGAGATCGTATTGCTGGCTTGATTACAGGCTGCGGAGATTACAATACGGTATGAATGAAGTACCTTTCCGGTACATTTTATGAAGATTGGGGATTGAAAGCGAATAATATGTTTTTGGCTGCTTTGACTGCCTTGTTGGCCGAGTGGTCACAAGTGTGACCGATGGAAAAGCGGTCTCGGGTTCGATCAAAGTACTATAGTTTAAAAAAAATCTCAGTAGTAGCACAGAGTCTGGAATTGTGCCTGGTATATGGTAATAGGCTCATTCTTCTATTACATGGGACTCATAACAAATAGTGAAAAGTGGGTGTTACATTGTACAGTGGCATTAAGTGCCGTAAAGTACACCTCTGCCTACCCATTCGGGAATAAAAAGCGTGATATTATATACATATGGTTTTGTGTTGAGTTTTGGATTTGTGGGAGTGTGTTGTCTTTTTATCTGAAGTTTTATTCTTGTGTAAAAAACCATTTCAAGGTACTATCGGTCAATTTAACTCGTCGAGTACCGGTTTTATAGACACAATTAAAGAACAATAGGTCGCGGTCACCGGTGACCGCTTGGTGTTTGACAGTTTAATCCGTACCCAAATTGAGGATGAATGTTCTGTGCAGTGACCGACGCCCACTCTTGGCTACCTGGTTTCGTCCACCAATAGAATTGTAGTAACTCAGCTTGCTACTTTTTTTGTTGTATGACAAAAAAAAATTGGAAAATGTTTTTTTCTTGCGGTGTTTTATTATGTTTCCATTGACTATATACATAGAGGTACAAACTTTGAAATTAGGTCGTACCTAAACATAGTGGTTCGAATTGCCCCATTCCTAAGAGCTAGTGGTTGATTCACACCACTCGGCGCTCCAAGGACCGCCGCGCCGTGGTCCGAAACAGCCTATTCGTAAGTTCTTAGACGTTTCACACCTTGGTCCGAACCACTCATGGTGCGAAACGACGAAACATCCATTTTAAAATACAAAGATACTAAAACAACTATTAAAGAGGTATTGAAGTCGCAGAGAACCTAACGGGTAACCGGGGCTCCGGCTCGACGGGCAGCAGAAGGAACGGGGTGGTTTTTAGTCAGTAAGAGTCTGACACTCCCTCCCGCCTCACCCAGGCGGGAGCAGTCATTCGATGATAGTCCCCACTTAAAAAAAATGTATCATGGTAGTACTTAGTTTAATAAATGTGTCCTTGTCTTTGTGTTATACAATGGAACGATTGTTCTGACGCACCTATTAACGAATTTGTTTTATTGTAAATAATATCATGTATCCACACGTGCAAAGCTTAACCCGTAACTCTCGATCTTGCGCATTAAAAGAATCTCGTTACTGTAGGCATCATTAATTTTGTACTACACTTCTGGACACATCTATTGGTCCATCTTAGAGTTTAGGTTTCGATGGCCCCTACCGAAATATGATTGCTAGATTGAACAAAAACTGTTGATGCAGTTTTAAACCTGATACATTTTGCCATCTTTTTCGATTGTATTGTTTTAAATTTGAATTCAGAATACCATACGACGTGGAGTTACGCCTAACAAATCGGCTATGCGCCTTGTTAAAGGCAATTGATTTTTGAATAAAAAACATGTTTTATCAAATAAAAGTTTAATTTAATAACGCGTGTTGCCTCCATGGGCATCTACCACAACTCTCATACGAGCACTCACGTTTTTTTGGCTGTATCCGGCCTGAATAAGTGCCACAGCTTGGGCGGCGACTTCAGGTAAAGTATCCATAGATTATTGATAGAACCTCACCTTAATGTTAAGAATAAGTATGTTTGGTGCAAAACCAAAGATATCAATCCCTTTTCGAAGAACTAAATTCAAGTAAACCAATAAAACCAAGTTTTCATAGTATTCGATTGTTTGATAATTGTCTTTTGTTACTTTAAATTCTGTGTTCGAAATTCAAAAAAACACTATTGAATGAAATTGTGAATGTGTCAGGTTCAAAACTGCATAAAAATTTTTGCTCGACCTAATATAAAATTTTACCTAGGACCAAACGAAACTGAAAATACAAGGTGGGCCAATAGATGTGTCCAGAAGTGTATTTTATTATAGTGACGAGGTTTTACATAATGATGACACCTCACATCTTGTATACGAAACAACTATACATTGCCTTTTCAGCGACGTCAGTTAAACAAAGACAAAGAGATCGATTGTTTTTGACTACGGCCCTGGACTATGAGTATACCTTTTTGTTTATACGTTGTGTTAAACAAAGATTGGCGGCGATATTTTGAAGATGGTTGACACTGATCTTAGAATTATTTATTTCATATTCGGATTCAGGCAGCTAGCGACGTGCGCGCCTTTGCCGAAAGAAGTTGTGTTGTGTTTTGAGTTTACTTTTACCTTTTGTTTCTATAGTGCAAGTGTATGTTGTATTATTATAATTCCTCACTAGAGAAGTGAGGAATTATAATAATACAACAAGTAATAAATACAGAACCACGACGACGAGTACTGCTTACGCCCGAATAGTAGTAATCATAATGGATGGCGAAAGGGAAATCCACTTCAGCGAATGTGTCTTCAAGAACTTACCAGGTGCGGCTAATATTATTTCTAAATAATGGCAAAAATACTTCCAAAAGTAAATTTACCCGAAAGATTATATTTATAAAATGTAATATTAATAAAATATTAGGCACGTAATTACAATTATATAACGTGGTATTTTATTGATTGCAGAGAAAGAGTCATGGACGTTTACGTTAACCTTTGGCAAGAGAATAAGGCTTTTGTTCGTGATGAATTGTTTGATAGGCGTTATCTTAATGCTATTAAGTTGTTCGATAGCGTTTCACTACTGGTACGAAATGGTATCGATGAAGAGACAACTGATCGTGATAAATGATAACATTGTCTTACACAACTTGAACCGCGATAGATGGCTACAGAATGCATCGGTGGCCCAGCCAAGGTCACCGGTCGAGGGAGACACGCGGGCGCCGAAAGCCTTTGATGACAATGACACTGCTAAGACATTCTATTTCGAAGATGTGGAAGAAGACGTGGTAGACACCAAGAAAGAAATTCAAGCAAAGGCAATGTTCCTGCTTGTGACTTGAACATCCTACAAAAAGGTTAATATCTACAAATTCTAATACATTCATATAAATAAATTATTTTTATGAAATTATAAATAAAACCTGTGTATTTAAAAAATTAAACAAGAATTCTGTGTATTAGTCATATGCATGACAATAACATTTAATTTTATTAATTACAGAGTTAGATGTGGTTCAATTTAACGGGGGTCAGAAAGAAGTTAATTTGGGAAACCAATGTGAGTATTACATAAAATATTATTATTATTAGTTTCCAAACAAACGCTAACCTTTATTAGTTACAGGTCAATAATGATACCTCGGTTGTAATCTTTTCTAAAGGACGATGAAGCAGTCCATTTTTATACAACTATTGCTATGTATAAAAACTAGAAACAAATAACCAAATATTACTTTTATCTTATATTTAGTATATATATAAAGCTAAAGAGTTTGTTTGTTCGAACACGCTAATCTCTTTAATTTGAAAAAAAAAAATTTGTGTTGGTTTGTCTATTTATCGACGAAAGGCAATAAAACATCGCGCTACAAAAAATAGGGGCCGAGCAGAGCGAGTGAAACCGCGCTGTGGTAGCTAGTGTAGGAGTGTGTATTCTGGCTAGGTAACGCGGCAACGGCCACATAGCTGTGACATATTCCTCCATGTGATTATAAAGTATGATGTATCATTTAACCTTATCCTCAATTTCTTGTTCCACAGCACTCGTGGCTCCCTGGATTCGGGATGAAGAGGCTTCTTTGAAAAATAGCGCGAACAAGTTCGAGTTGACGGGCAATTACGTGACGATCAAAGAAGACGGCCTTTATTTAATTTATGCTCAGGTTTGTGACCGACATTACTGTAGTTATACGAGTCAGTGATAGGGAAATATTTGTGTAATCCTTTGTATGGAGGTGCATTCTGTACTTTTTTTATCAAATAGTTAGCCTGCCTCCAGCCTTCCTTTAACCGTGCAATCAAGCTAAAATATTCGTAAGTTAGTAAAATATAATTAAGTCTCCTATTTACTCTTTACCGGTGGTATACCTAACACAATCACCGAACTGCTACTACATATGGGCGCGTCAAACGGGGAAGGATCCCCGTCTGGTCTCGACTTGTGCAACTGGGGACGACTCGAGCAACCGACCGCTCAGCAAACCACTAATGTCTTGTTCCTTGCAAACTATTGTGAGACTTTACAAAGGAGACATAGTCGACATTACCCAGAGAGAACTGAACAGAACTGTGTGGCTCCGACCGGGGTACAGCTACTTCGGCTTCGTAAAACTTAGCTCTTAATAAAATGTCCTGTTAAAATTTTATGTTTTTATACGTTTATGATTAAGTATATAAAAAAGTATGATAAAGAATTAGTATGGTAAAGTTGATTACGAATATTGATTTTTAATTGTTTTTTTTTTATTTCTGCCTACCCCTTTGGGGATAAAAGGCGTGATGTTATGTTTGTTTTTGCTAGTAACTGAATGAACGGAGTTGGTAATAGTGTGAACCGATTATGAATAAACAATTTTAAGATTTACGATACACGGATCTAGGGTCAAATATCGTCACAATATCGGCGCCCGCTTTGCTTAACAATGCTTTACACAACTTATAAACAAAAAGGTAAGCTCCTTTTTGTTTACCAATGTATAAAGCACTGTTAAGCAAAGCGGGCTATTGTAACTGATATTCAAGGGCCGTAATAAAAAACAATAATTCATTTGTCTTCGTGCCATAGGCTAATATCAAAATGAATCAAATACAAAGAAAAAAAAACACAACAGAACATCACGCCTTTTATCCCCCAAGGGGTAGGCAGAAGGAAAAAAAACAATTAAAAATCAAGATTCGTAATCAACTTTACCATACTAATTCTTTATCATACTTTTTTATATACTTAATCATAAACGTATAAAAAACATAAAATTTTAACAGGACATTTTATTAGGAGCTAAGTTTTACGAAGCCGAAGTAACTGTACCCTGGTGGGAGCCACACAGTTCTGTTCAGTTCTCTCTGAGCAATGTTGACTATGTCTCCTTTGTAAAGTCTCGCAACAGTTTGCAAGGAACAAGACGTTTGTGGTTTGCTGAGCGGTCGGTTGCTCGAGTCGTCCCCAGTTGCACAAGTCGACAGCAGACGGGGATCCTTCCCCGTTTGACGCGCCCATATGTAGTAGCAGTTCGGTGATTGTGTTAGGTATACCACCGGTAAAGAGTAAATAGGAGACTTAATTATATTTTACTAACTTACGAAAATTTTAGCTCGATTGCTCGGTTAAAGGAAGGCTGAAGACAGGCTAACCATTTGATAAAAAAAGTACAGAATGCACCTCCATACAAAGGATTATACAAATATTTCCTAATCACTAACTCGTATAACTACAGTAATGTCAGTCACAAACCTGAGCATAAATTCAATAAAGCCCGTCTTCTTTGACCGTCACGTAATTGCCCGTCAACTCGAACTTGTTCGCGCTATTTCTCGAAGACGCCTCTTCATCCCGAATCCAGGGAGCCACGAGTGCTGTGGAACAAGAAATTGAGGATAAGGTTACATGATACATCATACTTTATAATCACATGGAGGAATATGTCACAGCTATGTGGCCGTTGCCGCGTTGCCTAGCCAGAATACACACTCCTACACTAGCTACCTCAGCGCGGTTTCACCCGCTCTGCTCAGCACCTATCGTTTGTAGCGCGATGTTTGATTGCCTTACGTCAATAAATAGACAAACCAACACAAAAAGATTTTTTCAAATTAAAGAGATTAGCGTGTTCAAACAAACAAACTCTTCAGCTTTATATATATACTAAATAAAAGATAAAAGTAATATATGGTTATTTGTTTCTAGTTTTTATACATAGCAATAGTTGTATAAAAATGGACTGCTTCATCGTCCTTTAGAAAAGACTACAACCGAGGTGTCATTATTGACCTGTAACTAATAAAGGTTAGCGTTTGCTTAGAAACTAATAATAATAAAATTTTATGTAATACTCACATTGGTTTCCCAAATTAACTTCTTTCTGACCCCCGTTAAATTGAACCACATCTAACTCTGTAATTAATAAAATTAAATGTTATTGTCATGCATATGACTCACACACAGAATTTTTGTTTAATTTTTTAAATACGCGGGTTTTATTTATAATTTCATAAAAATAATTTCTTTATATGAATGTATAAGAATTTGTGGATATTAACCTTCTTGTAGGATGTTTAAGTCACAAGCAGGAATATTGCCTTTGCTTGAATTTCTTTCTTGGTGTCTACCACGTCTTCTTCCACATCTTCGAAATAGAATGTCTTAGCAGTGTCATTGTCATCAAAGGCTTTCGGCGCCCTCGTGTCTCCCTCGGCCGGTGACCTTGGCCGGGCCACCGATGCATTCTGTAGCCATCTATCATGGTTCAAGTTGTGTAAGACAATGTTATCATTTATCACGATCAGTTTTCTCTTCATCGATACCATTTCGTACCAGTAGTGGAACGCTATCGAACAACTTGATAGCATAAAAATAACGCCTATCAAAAAGGTAATTACGAACAAAAGCCTTATTCTCTTGCCAAACGTTAACGTAAACGTCCATGACTGTTTCTCTGCAATCAATAAAATACCACGTTATATAATTGTAATTACGTGCCTAATATTTTATTAATATTACATTTTATAAATATAATCTTTCTGGTAAATTTACTTTTGTAAGTATTTTTGCCATTATTTAGAAATAATGTTAGCCGCACCTGGTGAGTTCTTGAGGACACCTTCGCTGAAGTGGATTTCCCTTGCGCCATCCATTATGATAACTACTATTTGGGCGTAAGTAAGCAGTACTCGTCGTCGTGGTACTGTATTTATTACTTGTTGTATTATTATAATTCCTTACTAGAGAATACACTTGCACTATAGAAACAAAAGGTAAAAGTAAACACAACACAACTTCTTTCGGCAGAGGCGCGCACGTCGCTGGCTGCCTGAATCCGAATATGAAATAAATAATTCCAAGATCAGTGTCAATGTCAACCATCTTCAAAATATCGCGCTTGCACAATGCGGGTTAGCGATTACAAACCTATAATTATACATTATAAGCCCAGGTTTCCTCACGATGTTTTCCTTCACAGTGTGTCAGTGGTGTCTAAATAATCTTAGAAAGAACATATAACTCAAAAAAAGTTACATTGGTACTTGCAGACGGTAGGTTTTGAACCTGCACCCTCATGCATGAGAAGCGGGCGTCTTGAACCTCCGGGCCACTACGACATACAAAGTACCATAAGAATGTAAAAAATACCATAAACTTAATACGAATTTTTGGAAAATGCTCAGAACATAAATCGAACCCCTTGCCTGATAATCTCACTCGCGACCACTTAATCAACGAAGCAGTCCATTACAATAACAGCTTTAAAAAACTTTAACAATTCTCGAACTCTTTTTTCAAAATTGAGTTTTTACAAACTCTTGAGAAAGTTCAACCATTCGGGGATAAAGTAAAAACAATCTGTAAAAGTAAATTTACATTCTCATTGCATTTTATTGTTTTTAAAACCTCTGAAGGGTTGAAAGTTACGATTTGTTTAACTTTCTTTGTTGAAATGTTTTAATATTTTCGTTAAATATTTTTCAAACGTTAAAGAGAATGAATTATGTACGAAGAGGAGTAATTGTTCAGAGTATTGTTTATAATAGGCAAATTCCAAAGTAATCTTTGTTGTAATACCCTCCCCCTTTTCACCAGTTATGAGACCAATAAAACTGAAAGAAACTTAGCAGTAACATTTTGTCCAACCTAAGGAACCCAAGCGTGAACCCAAACCAAGAATGGGCCGGCTTGACAGAAGTGATACCACGGCCTCACAGAAAACCGACGTGAAACAACGACTGCGTTGTGTCTCGTCGTAGAAGTGAAGTTACCAGAGGCCCAATTACCCCCCCCCCCCCAGTCTCCCCAATCCCCGAACCGAATCCATGGCAATCCTCAAACTCCTAATTCCCAAGAAGCCGGTAACGCACTTGTAACGCCTCTGGTGTTGCAGGTGTCTATTGGCGGCGCCGATTGTTTACCATCACTATACACACATACTTATCCCATAAAAAAAATTTAATCCGAAACCTTTAGCTCAAAAGACAGATTCACAAGATGACAGAACCATGTAAGATTTCATTTTATGCTACCTAAAGATTGAAGTCCAATTATCATGCTTAGCATTCATACTAGCAACCACTGGACCAACGATACTGTAGAAGCCAGTAAAGCAATATCACAATATGTCTAACTGGGATTTACTCCTAGACATTCAAAGCCAGGCTCCAGTGAAATGATTGGCACTCCATTAACTTTATAACAGGGTTGCCAGTGTGTTCAAACGAATTCGAAAACTTTGCCAGATCTAATAACTTTACAAAATAAATATTGAGACAGATTTGAAGTGTTGAGATATTATAAAACTTGAGTTTAAAAGTTATGACAGGGAAATAAAATACTGGACAATAGTTGAGTTGCCAATCACTTGTCTAAGAAGCTAATAAAAACTTTTTTATAATAGGGTTGATGCCTAATTTTTTTTAATGTTCTTATTGTAGATTATTTTAAAACATTAGACACGTATTTTTTATTTTCTTACAGATATGAATACTTTCGACAATATATTGATTTGAAATGTCGCGTGACGTCACTTCTATGTACATTTTACACGTAGAAATGACGTTTTATCCCCATATTTTTTTGTTATAAACATCACCTTCACTAATGAATCGATTGACAGAGAATTCCATTTAACTCGTCGAGTACCGGTTTTATAGACACAATTAAAGAACAATAGGTCGCGGTCACCGGTGACCGCTTGGTGTTTGACAGATTAAAGTGCGTGTATGTAGATTAATTGAAATAAATGCTAGCTTTGGCGATTGATTATAACAAAAAAAACTTCAATAAAAAATATGACGTGAATATACTGAGAAAAGCTCTACTAGTTTCGAACCACAGAGGGATTCTTCATGAGCAGCGTGCGCGGTGGCGGTGATGTCGCGTAGCCTCTGTGGTTCGAAACTAGTAGAGCTTTTTTCAGTATATTCATTAGTAACCCGCTATTTTTAGTTACATTCAATTTTTACGGAATTTTGATACACAATCAACAATCTAAGTTATACCCGATCCAATACCATAATCTTAGACCTTACAGTCGCCAGCTTTCAAACTAGTCGACAGACAGTCACTTAAGGATAACTGGTGAATGTTTGAGCTGATCTCCACGAAGGTACTTAACTCAAGGTACGAAAGGACTTTC